GCCAACCTTAAAAATATGATTAGAAATAACGTTCCTTTTACCGATTTTGATCTCTACGTAAATGATACCGCTCGAGATGTAAGAAAATATATGGATCCGCAAAATATGGTTTCACAATATTTTGATATTAATGATTTAGGAAATCGCATCCATATCCTTGTTCATCAAAGATAATTTTTTTTTTATTTGTATTCGCACCTGTAACAGCGATATATATATTTTTTATTTGTATGTTGTCGTCTCGGCAATATAATTTTTTATAATAATAAAGGGAGGGGGGTCCGCTGGGCTCCCAATTTTTTATTTTACGCGATTGTGTATTATTAATATCTAGTTAATTTCTTTTTGACTTACGCTTTCACATAGATAACGAGATGATCGGCCAAACAAATTTCAGATTTTTTTCTTTAGCTGGATAAGCATAACGGGAATTCGGGAAATGATTACGAATAAAATGCACGTGCAAAAAATATATTATTCTGATGGTAGAGCCTGGACAAGCTTGTCCGGTTAAATTTATCTCCCGAAGCCTATATTTTTCTGTTGGACACGCATACAAGCTCAGGTTAAATTTATCTCCCGAAATAGCTGGCCGTTAAGGCACTTCGTAAGTCATTGTACATATGACTATCTGATGGTAGAGTCTGGACACGGTGTCCGGGCTCAGGCAAATTATTTTACATGATGTTTGGCAATCAGTTATACATATCTAAAAAATAAAGCCCGATATGGTGGGATATGCAAATGCTTTATTATATGTTTGAGAATACACGTGAACGAAATTCTGTTTTTTCTGATGGTAGAGTCTGGACACGGTGTCCGGGCTCGACTTAATTGCGCCGAAGAAATGGATCAGTATATTAACAAACCTTTCGTTTTAAGATTTCGGCCATTACATAATCTTTTTCATCCTTAGTTAGGCCTCTCTTTCATGTAATTTATAAATCACATGCGCGTTACAATTTGTAATGCAGGTCACTTGCCAAAAAAAATTTTTGCATCACATACACGAAATCCATTTTGTATTTTTTACGAAATAAGAAACCTAAAGCTTCATTAAACTTGCTAATCATTTCTTGACATATATTAACCTGATAACTAAATATTTTGGTTTTCTTCCCTAATTATATAGCAATGAGAATTAAAAAAGCCTTGGAAACAGAAAAAGATACTTCCGAGAAAATTAACCATAACAAACCACTATAATAACATTTAAAAATTTATGTTTTACAATTATTGGTTTTCGTAGTTTTTTCAATCAAGCTAACAACTGGAATCATCGTACTTCTACATGCCTTCGGTGTGATTGTTGGTTCACGGGAGAAGCTATTATGGCAAGAAATATTGTCAGATAATCTCTTGTTATTTTCACTAGAATAAAAACTATCAATCCGACACTGGATAGCAAACAAAAAAAGAATAAGTATATGGAAACTCAAATTTTTTGACATTATCAAAAAGAGATTTACCTTGAAATAAAATGTTTCTATAATTAACTTTCTCACGAGGTTAAACTCAGAAAGTTTCTGAGCGAGTTTAATTTCGGAGAGTTGAAAGTATCGGTAAATCCCGTCATACTCTAGGTCCATCGTTCCCAAATAGATGTAACCTTCTATAATGTTTTAACAGAAAGTGAATTAGAAAAAACCGGAAACGAACTGGAAACACAAAAAAAGTGTAAAGAATAGATTTACCACAAATATGTCCTCCAAAGGACTTAAGTTTTGGTGTGTTTCCACGTGAATAAATTATTCTGTTGATGCCCCCCTGGCAAAGGATGGCTACTTTATAAAGATTGTAGCCTCCAATTTTGCTATTTCTCGTGACTGATAAATGTTTGGCTTCTACGAAGCACGTTTCTTCACGTTCAACTTTACATGTTTCTTTCTTTTCGTCTTTTTTCATAACTCGATATATTGTAATGTCTGGTTTTCTGCCTTTGGAACGTCCGTAAGTCGCTCGGTGCTCTCTTGAAGATAGACTTTCGGTGTTTGCCCTGTTAAATAAAGAACAAGTAAAGATAAAGAACAATGTCAATGATTAAATACAAAAAATCTCAAAAAATTTTATTACCAAATAATCTCATAATTCGGATCACGGAACATTTCTTTAAAAACGTCATGTACATAGTCATGTACAAACGTATCCTCGTTTTTGTTCCTTGAATCTGGATACATGTGCATCCTTTCAAAGCTTGAAGAAAA